CCCTAAACCCTTAACCCTAAGTTTAGGGTTCAGGGTTTACGGGCTCCAAGCCTGTACGTGAGCTATAGTCTAAACTCCATAAAGGGGGTTATATGCTGGAATTTGTATATGGGGGTAATTTTTAAAGGCCTTGTTAAGGGCTATACTTGGAGTTTAGAACTCTGGCTCATATACGACCTACATGGGGGCCTGGTGTCTTTAGATCTTACCTACAGTGGGCTATTTGGAGCCCTGGGAAATATTTGAGGTATTTCTCATACCGATCAGGGCCCTTCGTTTGTGTAAACTGCTTAGGCTTGGGTTGTGGCGCGTGAGTTTCATAGCTTGGTTGGGACTATATAGGGTCTATATTGGGGTTTAGGGTTTGCGCTTATATTGATATCCTAGTTTTGATGGAGAACCGAATGGGAAAAGAAAGTTGATACAGAACCAGAAGATGGGATTTAGGGGTTTAGGGTTTAGGGGGATTGCCTAGGGGCTATGTAGTACTCTATTCGGGGATACTACAGTCTCCAATATTCTAGACTACTGATTATTTGAAGGCCCAGAGCTGCCCAACGCTTAATTCAAAAAAAGACTGACTGATGCCCGAGAACAACACTAGAGTCTTTAATATAGAGTAAGAGTACAGTGTATCCTCTTTTTGGTAAGTTGCTTCATATAAAGAACATAAACTTGTTTGGTCCAACTTGGTTCAAGCACCCTAAACCTTAAAGCCCTCAGTTGGGGCAGCCTTTCAGAATCCAATCTTCAGTAAACTCTACACGCAATGACACCCCGCTCCCCCCCAGTCTGATTACCCGTATAATTTTGCATGTCAGTTCAAACCCTTCACTAAAATGCATTAATCCCGAACCCTAAGCTGTAAAACCTAAACCCTACGGTGCAAGAGTGGGCCGGTTGCTTCCCGCAGCTTGTTGTGTGCGGCAGGGCTGGTGTAAAGTCCCCGTCAGTGAGCCCGGATATGGGAAAAACTGGAGTTCTAGGGACACCAGAATGTTGCAATCCTTGTTTTAGGGACGGTCTGATACAGCGACCATTAATTTTGGCAGTCACCACATCAGACGGATTGGGGATTAGGTTGTAGCGAGTAAGGGTTGGGGTTTGTACATGTTAGCTTCTGTTATGGTCTGCATGGGTGCACAGGGAGAGTTCTATGTATGTCAAAGCAGCCGGAAGACGACGACTGTCCTTTGGAAAAGGACTGCACAATCCGTATGGGGGAACTCATATATGTTCTCAGCACCCTAAACCTGAGGGTCTTGCCATGCACCATCTTTGCGCAGTGCTCCATGGAACATGACGGCCATCATGACAATCACAGAACAGCATGTCCTCCTACAATGCCATGCCAAAACCCAAAAAATCCTTGAGAGCATGTGGTTGCCTGCGCATCCATGCAGAAACCCTTAGGGTTTAGGGTGTAGTGTTTGAGGGCATGTTACCACATCCCTGCCCAAGCCATGACAGCAGTCCTGTTCAAGTCCAGGCAGGGGAGCTGTGGGAGTACTGCAGACGCTGCATTTTAGGAAACGAAGAGTTGTTTAAACCTTAAACCCTAAACTTCCCCGGTATAATCCCTATATAACCAGGTAACTACACCTCCACCTGAGAACCGGGCAACAAAGCCTTAAACCCAGGAACTTGCGCACGGAGGGCGGCGACGGTTCCTTCTTGGATCGCTTTGACGGCGGAAAACCTAAGAAGGACCTTGCATGGGCAGGATGTGTTGAGAGTTAAGGGTTTAGGGGCATTAAGGTAGCGTGTCTTCGAAAAATGAGTATATACACAACGCGGTAAGGCCTAGTCTACTGCAGGCCTTTCCTAAGCTTACTGGTGGCTAGTAGCGAATAAGAGAATATGAGCTCTATATAGTCTCTATAAACTGTATTCCTTTATTCCCGACTAACCCCCAGTCGGTAATTTGTGTGCTACGGGTCTCTACTCTGAGATGGATGTTCTGGATTTTTGCATCTTGCAGCAGTGTTTTGGGAATTTCCTATAACAATGCAGTCACAGGAACCCTCTGTAGTCCTCTTGTAGTCGCTCTACACCCTCACAGTTGCAAAACAGTACCAGATTCTGAGAAATCCCATTAAACAAATTGGTGCCTACCCCGCTAAGCTTGTCACTTGGGCGACGCCACGCTCTTTCTAGCAGGTGCTTGGCAGGCTTTGCAGTAGTCATCATAGGTGGGGTAGTAGGAATGTGTAGAGATTCTAGGGAAAGTTTAGCAGGCCTATTTCAGGATTGGATTATTTTGAGAAATAACCATACGAGAGCTGTTGGACACTTGAGGCCTCAGTCACCCCAACACTCCAAATGCGGATGCCTATGGCATTCATATGACAGTAAAAAAATTCCTGGTGTGGAGGTGGGCATAGCACAGACCCTACACCTTACACCTCGTGATAGGAGCTAGTGGCGTTTCTTCAAGCCACGGGCATTCTGCAGCTGAGAAACTGGGCAGCACATTCTCAGATAATGGTCAGGAGCACATGGCTCAGGTTTTCAGGTGCATGGCCCTGTCTGGAGTCAATGCTCTAGGGTGTAGGACTAAGTACCTCCCTAAACCCTAAACCGTAAACAAAGTACCTGTTCATCATGCTCTCAGAGGAGCTTCTGGGAAACAACTATATATGCTGCATGAGAACAGGGGCTCAGGAGCAAAGCGGTGCAACCTGCCATATACCCTTGACAGCATGGAAACTTGTATGGCGCCCCTTAAGGAGCTAGTGCCTAAACTCTTTAAAGGGGGTCATTATAGGGGATTATAGGGGAGTATTGTTGGGGTTATTAAGGGGGATACTAGGAGTTTAGACTATAGCGCAAATCGGCGCTATAAAGGCTGCCGCGCAAGCGCGGCTGCGTGGCCTCCATGTCAGTTTTAGGAGGATGATATCCGCACGCAGAGGACCTCAGGTGCCCTAAACCCTAAAAAGCTTTTCCAAAGCGCAGCAAGGTGGGTCAGGTTAATGGCGGCCCTCAGGGTTTAGGGTTTAGGGTTCAGGGTCTAACCCTAAACCCTGGAGTTTAGGGCGCGAACCTGAGGGGCTACGAGCTCAGGATTCAGACCCGAATCCTAATTAGGGTGTAGGATTTAGGGACATTTGCCGAAGCTGTATCACGCAAAACCTGTCATACGTTTCTACCTCATGATGTCATAGCATTACGTTTCTGGGCGAGGGTTGCGGGAAAGCATGGGTGGGACCCTAAACCCTACACTTCCTGACGCTGCCTACGTACGCATACTCCCAGGAGAAAATTTCCGAAGGATCTAAGGTGGGACCCAGAGACTGGACCCAAACTTGATAGCAGCGACGTGCACTTCGCATTCCCTAAACCCCTAAACCCTA